GGGGGGATAGGGCAGCTCGGCAGCCGGGCACGCCTGACCTCAGCCTCCTGGGGGACGCGAGCCGGGGATCCCCTGACCGGTTTTTCTTGCCTAAGTTATTTGAGTCACAAAGGCCTCCTCCCCCACTTCCTGCTTCAGCCGGGTTGTTGGGTGGGGGTTGTGGGTTGAGGGGAGGGGGCTGTAATGTAAAATGTCCCCCTGCCAAAGGTGGGGGTGATCCCGGTGTGTCATTTCCTATTTCTTCCCGCTTCCTGCCACACTCTGCCCCTCCGTGGGGGAGGGGAGGGGGGGGGACACGTGTGTGTTTGCCCGGGATGGAGGTACCCTGGTCGTACCCACTGCTCACGCGTGTCCCGGTACTGGGCTTGTCCGTGTGGCCGCACAGATCCACACGCGTCGAGGGCGCTCAAAGCCGCGAGGGTCCTTTGCGAGCCTCGCTCAGCCTCTCCCTACCGCCCCCCACAGGCTGTAAAAGGAAACGCAGGGAAGGGCGGGCGTCAGCCAGCGTCCCGGACCCCCACCTCGGAGGGCTGTGCCCGCGGGCACCTGTGTCCCATCCATGTGTGTGCGTCCAGCTCCGCGTCCCGTGTCCCTGTGTGTGTGCTCGAGTGAGCAAGAGAGAGAGAGAGAGAGAGAGAGAGAGATTTCGAACCCTCCCGCCCCTCGACTGAAATCCGAGCACCTCCAAAACAGGAAACCCGGGTCTTCCTCCCCACCCCTCCATCCCTCCCCAGCCAGTCTTCCCTCTGTTCTTCCTGCCGCCAGCCACCCGCGCCAGATTTTGAAATCTCCGAGACAAAACTAGTACTGTAAGATAAATTTTTTTGTACTGTATTTATTGTGTATAACGATTTTTTTAAAGGAGAATTCTGTACATTTAGAACTCTTGTAAATTAAAAACTGATCCTTTTTTTAAAACTGTACTGACTCCGTCTCGGCCCCATTGCTTTTGGGTCCTTGGGAGGGGGGTGTTGTTTGAAGTCTGGGGGTTGGGTCCAGACCTGGGTGGGGGAAGGGATTGTGAGGGTTCATTGCACATATTATTTGTTGAATACCTATTAGGGGTGCCAGGCCCTGTTCTGGGCACAGGGGTGCAGCTGAACATGGCAGGCAGAAGTCTCGACCCCTGGGGGGGGCTTCAAAGGACAAATTTGGGGCACCTGTGTGGCGCAGTCGGTTAAGCCACCGACTCTTGGTTTCAGCTTGGGTCGTGATATCAAGCCCCACGTTGGACTCTGCTCAGCGGGGAGTCTTGAGATTCTCTCCCTCTCCCCTTCCTGCTCATGCACCTGCTCTCTCTCTCTCTCTAAAGTAAATAAATAAATCTTAGAAAAAGAAGAACGGAGATTTATTCTTTCCCGTTCCGGAGGCTGGACAGCCCACAACAAGGCACCAGCAGCGCCATGCTCCCCCTAGAAACTCTGCAGGGGGATCCTTCCTCGACTTTCCACTTTCCGGGTGTTCCTGGTCCTATGGCTACATCCTTTTTCGGCATTGGTGTCCCCTCTTAAAAGGAGACCATATTGGATAATAGCCTACCCAACTCCAGTATGATCTCAATCTTCACTTGCTTACATCTGCCAAGATCCTCTTTCCAAATAAGATCACATTCACAGGTGCAGGGGGTTAGGACATCTGCGTATCATCTCCTCGGGCGGGGGTAGGGGGTGGGTAGAGGAATGGACAAGGCTCTAGTCCCAAACTAGGACGCCTTTGTGTGAACTAGAAAGCAGTGCCCCTTTCTTCCAGGCACTGAGTTTTGAAGGGCAGAGTGTGAGCTGGATTCCAGCCTCCTCTCACCCATTCAGTGAGTGCTTTGTGCAGTGAACAACCTGTGTAACTGCACATTAAGGCGTCCGGGATCGGGTGGGAAGGGGAGACTTCTTTGAGGAGGTGACATTTGAGCAGAGACCTACATGAAATGAGGGAGGGAGCCACAGGGAGTTCTTGGGGGGGAAAGCATCTGAGGCAAGAGCATGTCTGGAGTGTTGCGGGACAGCAAGGAGGCCCATGCGGCTGGAAGCTGGGGGGGTGGGAGGGGGAGGGAGGGAATGAGAGGTGAAGTCAGAGAGAACAAAGCTGGCCTGTGGTGTAGGACCCTATGCTTCATGGTGATGATTTTGCTGAGCTATGGCGGAACCACCGCGAAGGTTCTAAGCCGAGGGCTGAGCTGACTTGGGTTTCCTGAGCGCCCTCTGGCGGCCGCGTGGGGAACGGATGGGGCGAGTGCGGACCCGGAGCCCAGCCCAAGAGGCCACTGCTAAGGTCCCGGTGCCCGGTGACGCGGCAGGACCAGGGTGATGTTCCAGTTTCTCTGCAGGCCCTAGGGGTGTTTGTGGCGGGGAAGCTGGTATGTGGGGCCACGGAGAGAGAGACGGTCCCCCTTCCTAGCTGTATATCTACTTCCCCACGTGCAAAACGCAGTTCTTAACATCCTTGGATCCCCGAGAGCTCCGGGGAGACCCCACGTGGCTGCGCCAAAAAGTTCGCCGGTGATTTCCGCGGGCTTCTGGAAGGCCGCGGAAGGTTCTGGACATATTATTTGTTGAATACCTATTGGTTCTGGAAGGTTGACTGCATGCAGCCCCAGCAGAGAATCAGCGATGACTAACTATGGAACACTTACCATGGGCACTGTTTCAAGCCCTTCACCCAGGATGTTTTATCTGATCCTCACAGAAGCCCCGGTATGGGGATTGATAGCCCCATCTTGCGGATGAAGAAACTGAGGTCCCGCGGCAGTCAGTGGCAGGCTGGGCTGCACCCCAGGCGGTCTGGCTGCAAGCCCACGATCTTGGCCTCTGCACACCCAGCTTCCAGGGAAGTGGCGGGCGCGTCGGGCAACAGCATGGCCTTTCCCAGAGGGCAGTGCAGGAGCCAGAGGGGCCCCCCCCGCCCTGCTGGGGAGGAGACCAAAACTGGGGACCAAACTTCATAGACCCTTGCTCCCAGAACCTAGAACCAGCTCGGTGGGTGCGTGTGGCGTCTCCTCTTCCATAGCTGAGGCATCTGGGGAAAAAAGAGTCGCCTGGGCACAGAGCAGGATGACCGCGGCCGAAGTTCATCCCTAACTTCTGGCTGGCCACCTGCTCCATCTGTTTTGTTTGTTTGTTTTGTTTGTATATGTATGTAAAATATACATAATATAAAACTGGCCGCTTTAACCATTTCTGAGTACACTGCTCAGTGACGTTCAGTACCTTCCTTCACATTGTGCAAACAACGCCACCGGCTCTCCTCTGAACTTGAAGATCTAACCCCTTACACGCTGACTCCCGCTCCTCAAGCCCAGCCCACCACCTTCTGTCGGGATGGATCCCACTGCTCTCAGCACCTCCAGAGTGGGATCATACAGTATCTCTTCTCTTGTGACGGGCTTATTTCACTTGGGATGACGTCTCCAAGGTTCATTCATGTTGTAGAATGTGCCAGAATTTCTCCACCCGGTTTTGACAACTGGGGAGGGAGAGGGGTAGGGGGGGGGAATTTTTTTTTTTTTTTTTGGTGAGTTTGTGCCGTGGGGAGAGGGCTCCCAAGACTATAAGGGCACCGGGAGACTTGTCACACGGAGACTTCCCGATTCAGAGATCAGCGACACAGCAAGACAAGACAGTAGCCCCAGTAACTGAGAGCTCAAAGCATGTTTAATGAGGCAGCGTCATCCAGGGTGCCTGGGCGGCTCAGTCGGTTAAGCGTCTGCCTTTGGCTCAGGTCATGATCTCAGGGTCCTGGGATTGAGCCCCGAGTCGGACTCCCTGATCAGTGGGGAGTCTGTTTCTCCCTCTCCCTCTGCCCCTCCTCCCTGCTCAATCTCTCTCTCTCTCAAATAAATAAATAAAATCTTATTAAGAATAAAAATAAAATGAGGCAGGGCAGGATGACAAGGGGACCAATTATACTGAAATCCAGCTATCGGTGTATTTAAAGCCCCCCCACGAATCTGTGACACGGTAATAAGGGCTCTTGTATTAAGACACTAATTAGAAAGAGCTAGCGGTGGGTCTAATCAGTGGTGAGTAAACAATCACTGGAAATCCCCAAAACAACCATGATGCGGTGAAAACAACCACGATGCGGTGAAAACAACCACATTCCCCTCCGTGGCAATAATACAGGTCCCACCAATGTCACTGTGCTTTGTTGTTCACGGTTGACAGAAACTGTGAAATCTCAGCAAGCGATCCAGATGTCATGTTTCTCTCCATGTCCAAGTTCACGGACCCTCCCAAATCTCATCTGAGCACGATGCAGTGGGCTGAGCAGTCCCGGGGTCGCCTCCGAGGGGGAAGGAGATGCCCCATGTCAAGGTTTGAGAAGAGGACCTGGCTCCTAGCTGTAATAACGTTAGTCGCCACTAAGCCCCAGGCCTGTGATTAAATATATATCATATATACCATTATACATTGTATGTGATCATGTATTATAATTATATAATTATGTATAAAATGTATTATATCCATACACCTCTTTAGAGAATACAGTTGACTCTTTTTATTTTTTATTTATTTATTTTTTTAAGATTTTATTTATTTATTTGACAGACACAGCGAGAGAGGGAACACAAGCAGGGGGAGTGGGAAAGGGAGAAGCAGGCCTCCCGCAGAGCGGGGAGCCCTATGCGGGGCTCAATCCCAGGACTCTGGGATCATGACTTGAGCTGAGGGCAGACGCTGAACGACTGAGCCACCTGGGCGCCCTGACTCTTTTTATTTTTTTTAAAGATTTTATTTATTTATTTGACAGAAAGAGAGACCGCGAGAGAGGGAACACAAGCAGGGGGAGTGGGAGAGGGAGAAGCAGGCTTCCTGCTCAGGACCCTGGGATCATGACCTGAGCCGAAGGCAAATGCTTAATGACTGAGCCACCCAGGCACCCCATAGAATACAGTTGACTCTTGAAGAAATGGGGGTTATGGGTGCCGACCCCCCCAGTCGAAAATCCACATATAACTCTTGACTCTCCCCAAATTTACCGACTAGCCTACTGTGGACCAGAAGCCTTACCGATAACATAAATAGTCGATTAACACATATTTTGTATGTTATATGTATTCTTACAATAAAGTAGCCAGAGAAAAAAATGTTAAGAAAATCTTAAGAGGGGCGCCTGGCTGGCTCAGTCAGTACAGCATGAGACTCTTGATCTCAGGTCGTGAGCTCGAGCCCCACATTGGGTGGAGAGATTACTTAAATAAATAAATAAATAAAATGTTTCTAAAAAAAAGTTGCAGTCCTTCGATCGTTAGCCACTCAAATCCTTTGTTAGTTAGGGTCATGCTAGCAGCTGTAATAAATACTCAAAATATGTAATACTCAAGCCTAAGAAAAGCTTATTTCTAAAAAAAAATAAAATCATGAGAAAAAATACATTTACAATAGTGTACTGCATTTCTCGAACAAAATCGACTTATATGTGGACCCATGAACGAATACTGTTCAAGGGTCAACTGTATCTGTCTGTCTGTCTATTGATCGATCTATTCAGCTTTATTGAGATATTTCAGAAGCCATTCGCCCATTTAAAGTGCACAATTCAATGGTTTTGGTGTATTTGCAGGGTGTGTGCAAACATCACTGCAATCAATTTTAGAACATTTTCACCACCCCCATTATGTACATTTTTTTAAAAGATTTATTTATTTATTTATTTGACAGAGAGCGAGAGAGAGCACAAGCAGGGGGAGCGGCAGGCAGAGGGAGAAGCCGCCCCCCCGATGCTGGGCTTGATCCCAGGACCCTGGGATCATGACCTGAGCCACAAAGGCAGATGCTTAACCAACTGAGGCACCCGGGCGCCCCCCCCCATTATGTACATTATTGAATTCAGCCAACTAAATATTTAACTGAATGCCTGCTGGCTGGGCCCTGTTCTAGACACTGGGGTGACAACAGCAAACAAAACAGACCCAAGCCCCTGCCCACGAGGAGCTGACATTCCTGCAGGGAAAGATTAAAAATAAGTCACACTGAAAATAAATACATGAAAATAAAATTGCAAAAAGAAGTAAAAATAAGGAACATCTCTCTTCTGGCTGACAGTGCTAAGTGCTAGGGAGGAAAAGGAAGTAGGAATCAGGGTGGTGGGGGGTTGGGGGGAGTCAGGGTAGGACTTACAGAGGAGGTACCATCTGAACAAAGACCCAAAGGAAGTGGTCCTTTGTAGTAAGATAGATGGGGAAACTGAGGCTCAGAGAGACTGAATTGCTTGCCTGAGGTTCTCTTGCAAGCAAGTAGCGGGGCTGGGATTTGACTTGAGGCTTTGTATGCTCTGACTCCCATGCTGAGAGAAAAAAACCCAGCTCCAGACCTGGATTATATGACCTGATGTTTTTTAAGCACCAGTTAGGGGCCCAGGTGCAGGGCTAAGCCCTGAACAATCCCTCTGTGCTTTTTTATTTCACTTCTCTGGGACTCATTTATCTCATCTGTAAAATGGGGATAACGATAGCCACTTCTCAGGGACATTCTAAGAACTCAATGAGCTAATACTCTTAGCTAATAAGCCTGCACATAAGGAGGCGCTCAATAATCGTGAAAGATTAACTCAACAAATATTTACTGACTCCTTTTGGTGTGTCCAGCACGGTGCTAGCCTGGGGACACGACAGGAAACCACCCAGTTGGAAATCCCTGTCCTCAGAGGGCTTGTGTTCTTGCTAGGGAGACAGTCACTTAAGCAGAGAAATGTAGAATAATCAGAACTGTGGAGAAAAATAAAGCAGTGATAATGGATAGATGGTGGGGGCAGCCTTAAATAAGGAGATCAGGGAGGGCTTCTCTGAGGAGGTGACATTTGAGCAGGCACGAATGAGGAGAGTGAGTGAGCTGTTCGGATCCCTGCGGGGAAAGTGGTTTAGGTGGAGGGAACAGCAAGTGCAAAGGCCCTGAGGTTGGAGGGCTGTTGGTGTGCTTGAGGAACAGCAAAGAAGCCAGGGTGGCTGGAGCAGAGTGAGCCAGGGGGAGAGGAAGGGAGGTGAGGGCAAAGGGAACGGGCAGATCCGCGTAGGGCCTTGTGGGCCCCATTGAGGGCTTTGGCTTTTCTTTTGAGTTCTCTAGAGAGGAGCCAGGATGGGTTGTGAGAAGAGGAATTTCATGAACTCAGGTAAGTTTTTAAATTATTATTATTGTTGTTGCTGCTGCTGTTGGTGTTAGTAGCAGTATTAATATTAGCACTCCCATGCTGAGAGGAGAGACAGAGATCGGGGAGTGGCCCAGTGTCAGAGGTGGAACGGATTTTGAACAACCGGTATTCGGATTCGAAGCCCGCTCTCACCCATCTCGAGAAGCCGCCCTGCCACTCCCCACCAGGGGGCGCCAGAGGCCGGGCTCCCGGTTTGGGGAGGGGGGGCGCCTGGTCCCGCCCCCCCGCCCCTCCCTTCCCTCCTCCCCGCTCCGGGCCCCACCCGGCTCAGACGGCTCCGGACGGGACCTCGACCACAGGCCGCTCCGCGGGCGCCTCGGATCCCCGCGGGACCCCCGTCCAGCCCGCCGCCCGGTGCAGCCGCCTGCGCGCCCCATCGGTGAGTGGTCTCCGACCGCCGCTGTCGCCTCCCAAACCCCGCCCGGCCCGCGGAGCCTAGGAGCGTGATTATTCCCCTGCCGCCCCAAGACTCTCAGTCCCCACCCCCCGCAATGTGTAGCGGTGTCCCCGGGGTCCCCAGCACCCCGCTCCGCGAAACCTCCTTGTCTTCCCCACTCCCTCCAGCTCCTTCCAGCCTGTAACAGTGCCCCCTGCCCTCCTCGTTTCTTCCCATCGTGCTCAGTTTCCCCCACTCCCAACTGGCCTCCCCATCCTCTCAGCCAGAAGAGATCCCCTCCTTGGAGTCTCCCTCTACTGCCCTTACCCATCTCTGTCCTATTTGGTCCCTCCTCCCACTCAAGAGCTCCTCTCCTACTTCACCAACCCCACGGTCTGTCCAGCTACCCCTAAAATATCCCTCGGACCCCTCCCTGCCTAGGACACCGCCCAGGGCCCCCTCCCTCTGCCAACATCCCAGTTCGCAGTTCCTGCCTCTCCTTTACCTCTCCGGCACTCTTTCCCCTCTACTCCTTTTCCTTTCTATTTATTCATTTTTCTTTAAGTATCATTGTGATTTTATGGATTTTAACATTTTGATTTGCAGTTAATTTTGATGCTCAAATCCTCCCATCTTTGGCCAGTGGGAGCTCCTTCAGGCTGGTCCTTGCGTCTCTGTGGCATGCCCCTTCCATCTTTGAGCACCTTCCCACTACCTGATCCAGGCTCACTTGTTCTTCCCCTGCCCCAGCCCTAGAATCAGCCATTTCTCCAAGAAGCCCTATTTGTTTGTTTGTTTGTTTGTTTTTTTAATGGAAAATGGTGTTTGGAGACTCCCATCTGACCAAAAGCTGGTTCTGTGAAAAGATCAGTAAAATTATAAGCATCTACTTAGACTGATCAAGGAAGAAAAAGAAAAAGAAAGACACGAATGACTGATATTGGGAATGAAAGAGGGGACATCACTACAGGTCCTACAGAGAATGAAAAGATAGTAAGGGAATATAGAGAACACAGTCTGGGTGCTGGGGGTGCTTGCCGCTGCTGGATTGGTAATTCTCTCTTCCTAACTCAGGTAAGAACACAGGTTCCGAGGTCAGGTTGCCTGGTGTCCCAGACTGAGTGCTTTCCAACCAAGTGATCTTGGGCAAGTTATTGCTATCTTCGTGAGCCCCCTTTGTGAGACAGAAACATGGGGATAATAACAGCCCTACCTTACCATGTTGTTAGGAAGATTAAATGAGTTAGAGCAGCGTCCGGCATGCAGTGATCAGAAATGTTAATATTTTTGTGATCACCTGAGGACCCTCATGACCTGGGTGCACCCAGGCAACTCCTCAGCTTTATTTCTCACCCCTCCTGTGTCCAGCAACCCCCTCCATGCATTTCACAGCTCGGGGCCTTAGCACACACCACCCTCTCTGCCTGTCTTGCACGGTATCCCTGTTGTGCATGGAAGGGAGCAGTTCAAAAGTCAGCTCAGCCAGAGTTTGCTGATCCCGTGGTCAGTTCACTATGTCCCCATCTGGTGCCCACAAGTCCACTGCCTGGCATTTCCCAGGCATCACTGGCTGCTTGGTGCCCGGTCCCCTCCTCAATGGGGGCTTTGAATGGGTAAGGGCCCGTCTCAGGCCTCTTTCTGGATCCATAGCTCCCGACACATGAGGTGATTTCAGTGAAAATATGTGAAAGGATGGGGCGGGGGGAGGACGGAAAGAACAAACGGATGAAAGAATACATTTTTTCTAGGCAGCTTCTGCATCCTTCCCTTTGTCCATCATCCCTTGGCCTCCCACCATCAGTCCTGCTTCTTCAATCATCCCACCATTAATCTCTTTCTCTTCCTCCAGCTGGAATAATCACCTTCTTCCTCCATGAACCATCACCTCCTGCCCTGCCGTGCTTTCTCTCTGCCGCTTCCCCCTCCCCATTCTCCCACCCTCCTCCGCCCATTCCACCTCCCAGCTCCCTTCCTCCTCCTCCTCCTCCTCCTCCTCCTCCTCCTCCTCCTCCTCCTCCTCCTCCTCCGCCAGGCAGGCCCCCATCAACGCCCTGCCCCCCCCCCTTGCAGGCAGCTCTCCCCTGCCCGTCTCCCTCGGCGAGACCAGTGGGCAGCGTGCAGCCACCATGTTCAGCTGGCTGAAGCGGGGCGGCGCGCGGGGCCAGCAGCCCGAGGCCATCCGCACGGTGACCTCGTCCCTCAAGGAGCTCTACCGCACCAAGCTGCTGCCTCTCGAGGAGCACTACCGATTCGGCGCCTTCCACTCGCCGGCCCTGGAGGATGCCGATTTCGACGGCAAGCCCATGGTCCTGGTGGCTGGTCAGTACAGCACGGGGAAGACCAGCTTCATCCAGTACCTGCTGGAGCAGGAGGTGCCAGGCTCCCGCGTGGGGCCCGAGCCCACCACCGACTGCTTCGTGGCTGTCATGCACGGGGACACCGAGGGCACTGTGCCGGGCAACGCCCTTGTGGTTGACCCCGACAAGCCCTTCCGCAAGCTCAACCCTTTTGGGAACACCTTCCTCAACAGGTGGTACAGCTTGGGAGGCAGGGGTGCATCTCCCCGTCCCTGGCCCCCACCCCCACCTGTGTTTCTTTCTTTCCCGCTCCAATTCCCTCCTCTCTTCATGCTCCTCCCCCTTCCTGCCTCCTCGAGGGTAACAGGGAAGCCAGTGGAGCCAGGCTGCCTGGGTCCACCTCCTCTCTACCTGGGTGGCCTTGGGCAAGTGACTTAACCTCTCTGTGCCTCTCTTATCCGCATCTGGAAAATGGGGATAACCATAGTCCCCACTCGCTTATAAAGTGCTTAGCACAGCACTTTATAATCACAAAGTATGTGATCAGTTAACATCAGCTCTCAGTTTTGTTTTTTTTTTAAAGATTTTATTTATTTATTTGAGAATGAGAGACTGAGAGAGAGAGCACATGAGAGGGGGGAGGGTCAGGAGGGTCAGAGGGAGAAGCAGACTCCCTGCCAAGCAGGGAGCCCGATGTGGGACTCGATCCAGGGACTCCAGGATCATGACCTGAGCCGAAGGCAGTTGCTTAACCAACTGAGCCACCCAGGCGCCCAGTTTTGTTTTTTTTTTTTTAATAGCTCTTATTCTTTGTCCTGATCTTTCGAGATTCTTCCCTGCTCTGTACCTGAATCACCCTCTGTGTGGTCCCGGTTTTCCCTTCTTATGGGTCCTCTCCTCCTGCCTCTCCCTGTGTTGACCCCTGACTTTCCTTCTGCCTCAGGTTCATGTGTGCCCAGCTCCCCAATCAGGTCCTGGAGAGCATCAGTATCATCGACACTCCGGGCATCCTGTCAGGCGCCAAGCAGAGAGTGAGCCGGGGTGAGTGGGGCCCGAGTCCTGGGTCTGAGGGAGATGGCGGCTGGGTGTCTGCTAAGACTCGGGCCTGTGTCAGCCAGCCCTGAGCTGGCTGGTGGCAGAAGGCTGTGTGGTTCCTCCATGTCTGTGCACGTAGAGGGGACAGGGGAGGCGTGTGCCTGAACACGTGTGAGCAGGCTGCCGCTCCGTGTCTGGGCTGGTCTGGAGTATGCGGAGGGAGAGATCAAGAGAGACAGAGGGAGACCGGCGAAGTCAGAGACAGATCCCGAGTGCGGGCAGCCTTACAGAGACACAGGAGACCCAGAGAGGAGGGAGGCCCTGGGCCCTGGGCATGCTCCTGGCTCCACCTCTGGGCCGCAGATGGGGCTGAGCAGGGGTTGGGAGGGGGAATCTGGGCGCGGGCCAAGGCCGGGCCTGGAATTTATAAACAGCTGTGCAGGGGGAGCGGCGGGGGGTGAATTCCAGCGGGCCTCCGGGGGAGCCGGCCCCCACCTCTGCCCAGCCCACTCAGCATCTGCGCCCCGCCCCGCCCCAGTCACCCCGCAGTGTCTGTCCCGCGCCAGCTCGGCGGCCTTCGAGGCCCGGGACTGGGGCAAAGGAGGCTGCATTGTGGGGCAGAGGGGACGGGACGCTGGGCCGCCGGGCAGGGCGGGAGCGTGGAGGGTGATGGTGTCCCTGGCTGCTACCCAGCGGGCGCGTGTCCCCCTGGGAGACAGGCAGGGGGCAGCTGCAGAAGCGATCGGAGGGCGGGCTGCCAGCCCG